CATTCACATATCGCGTCTTTTGCGCGCTCAAGTTCGTTATTTCAAATGTAGACGCGCGGCAGGCGCGCTCATAATGGAAGCGACGCAGTCGCGACGCGCTCATTTTTATCGAGATAAAAACATTTCAACTTTTCAGAATGCCGCAAGTGCACCGCGGGTCATGTGACAAGCACCAACCAATCAGCTTCATCCTTTCCCGTTACAACATTGAAAGCTCAGTCAAGATGAAGGAACCATAGCTGATAGCTGTACAGGGATAGCCATTTTTAAATAAATTTAGTAGCAGAGCTACTGCAAGCGATGCTGCAAATCCTCCGGAGCGCAAGCGCCCGAACGCTTTGGGGAAAAAAGCAGAAAGCGGCGCGCCTAGCGTTTTCCACGCGTTTTTAGGCGCGATATGTGAATGGCCCCTAAGGCAGTTCTTTTGTCCAGTTTTTGTCCAATACAGCTTTTCAGTATTAAACATAGGGCTGGGACAATAAATCAATGCATCGTGATTCTCTCTCGAATTGATTCTGAGCTTAGTTTTTAACAGCAGATGGCGCACTAGGTTAGTTTGCACACTCAAATGCTCACGAAGAAGAGCGCTTGCATGTTCGGCTTGTGGTTAAATGTACTTGCACTTCGGCTTTTATGTTTTATGATGCGAGATTAACGTAAACACAGCCCACTGTGAACATCCCTGTAATTCGCTTCAACCTTTTCTAACTTTATGAATGATTATTTTAGGTTCAAGTTAGTGCTGGGCGGTATACCGGTTCATACCGAATACCGGTGTTTATTTTTGTTTTGATATGAATTTTTAAAATACCGCATAGGTATGTCGCTTAAACAACGTTCGGAACGCAGCACTGTTTGAAAGGGGTCCGTTTTCACTGTTGCACTGTGTTGAGGGAACAGCTGTATGTGTTACTAAGCATGAAAGTTCCGAAACTGAAGCTGTAGAACTAATAGAACGTGATGACACAGAAGAAATAGATGTGATTATGATCATTTGATAAAATGAAGAGAGCGCGCCGTACGTTTGAGATCATTTTACTTTGTTGACTGTTTCCTATCCCGACACGGAGACCGCTGAACGTGCCTCTTTAAATGGTTTCGTGGTGCTCGTTGTTGTATTTTAAAACACTATTGCAATGTTTTCAACTGACATTATGGCATTTAAAATAAAATTATACCAAACGTTACTGTGGCGCGTGTGGCTGTTCTGCGCAGTCAGTGAACCGCTTCCATCGGCGCTGCTGCAGCAAAACACACTGTTGCTCAGATGAAACATTTTTATGTGAGTTATGACCAGTACTTAATTTGATCCTGCTGGATTTTTAAAAATCCGGCATTTACAGTGCATTAGATCGTGACAGTGCATGCTTGCGTGTACAAGGACGGAGCGAGCGCGGGTTTGACTAGATGTATTTGGAGGTTATTACTCGCGTCTCGTTCGGCACAAATCCAAATGTTTCCATATTCGCAATGTATTTGAATGTTAAACTATTATTTATAATGTAAACTAGGCTTGTACTTTACACACATTCGCATATAGACGGAAAAGATCATCCTCTTCACATGA